TGCTTAGCAGCGCAAGTAAAAATCATTTAACTTTACGTTTCAAATGGAAAAAATATTAAAAACTTGCAACCTTTGGCAGATAATTTTGATCTCTAAATGCTTTAAATGTCGAAATGATTTCCGAGAAAACATTTTCATTATCCCACAGCAACAATGCGATATAAGCTATGAATACATAGACAAGAAGTAGAGATTATCTTGTCAACCCGGAAAACTTTTCTTACGCTGAGAATACCTAAAGTGACGTCATGGCCGGGACTCGCAGTAACTTTGGGGTAAAAACTTTCATTAAAAAAACTTGTTTAACTTGAACAAGTAGGCAAGCCGCTTATCTGTATTGTTCAGCAATTTTCTGCACTGAAACACACACATGCGTGATGTATGTGCTCTTTGTGATAGAGGTTAATGAATGTACAGTCGACAATGGCAGCTGAGGTTTGGCTGCTGTTGTGGAATAGTTTAGTCATAGCTCAAAAACGCGCGTGCTCAGTCATGGCGGATCGGTCTGCACGCAGCCGCGGCATTTTTATCAAAGTTATATTTCGCTCCTCGAATTATTTTTGATTCTCCTAGCACTTGTCTGTGAAAAGATGGGTGTGGAGGATAGTAAATGGAAGTTATTATATATGAGAAGGAGTGTTCAGTTTTTGTGAAATAAAATGATGAAAATAGTCATGGAGACCAATGTATCAAAGACATGTGAAATCCTATCATAATGTATAATGATACTTCACGGAGATACATATGTCTCAAAGTCACAGTAATTATCTGCATTGTCTATGTAGTAAAATAATGAAGACTTGGCAATCCAGGCTTTATTCGAACAAATGACCTGTGATCAATTGTGAGAAGAAAATAACAGCTGGACGAGGGCGCTGACAGTCAGCAGCTGTGCGGGGCGCTGACTGTCAGTAGAGTAGCAGGTTAACCTGATGCTGCTCGGCAGGTTGCGCGTGATGAGTAGCAGGTTAACCTGACGTGATTGTATAACTGTATTCGTAACGGTGACGTGAAACATGAAATGTTGTTGCGTGAATGAGTTGCAGCGCAGTTTTTTCGTTTATAGCCGTGGCCCCTGGTGTTGGATCTTGTTTCAAATTCTAGTAATCCTTCTGGTACCTTGTATAAACCATGAGTATACTTGTATACTTCAATGAGGTCCCCACGCAGACGTCGATAACTGAGGCTTGGAAGCTTCATAATCTTTAATCTTTTTTCATAAGACTTGCCTTCAAGCCTGGAATTATCCTTGTTGCACGTCTTTGAACTCTCTACTAAATTTTTGTCTTTTTAACGCATTTTATCATTTATGGGAAAAAAGGCGCTATTGTGCTCGTCATTTCCGTCCGTCTGTCTGTCTGCCAGTCCGCGACTTCATGTTTTCGTCGACGAGAAAATGCGCTCTCTGTCACTCACTGCAGTGAGTACTGAGCAATATTTTCAGCGCATTTTCTCATTTATGAAAAAAATGCACTATTTTCAAGTTTTTTTTTCAAGTTTCGACGAACACACGGCGTTATTCTTCATAGATCCTGCATCTAAGTTCTCGTAGTAACGCTTGACAAGTATAAGGGCAGGGTGGCCCAGTGGTTACAGTTCAGAGTACCAGGATTAGAGCAGTGAGTTGCGTAATCGATGCCCGCAACAAGCTGTGATTATTTTGCGATGTTAAGAATCGGCAACAGGTCTAACGATCTAATGAACGTTGAAACTGCTATCACTATTACTATCAGTCCCAGCATTCTATTGGATATATTAAGTGAAGATTTTTCTATATAAATATTTCTAACGAATAATGTCTACTAGAACCCATTTTTGTCTTCTTATATGAGTTGAATTTTTATATTATTATTAATATCTTCCTTACTTCATCGAATTACATTTAACTGAATAACATATTTAAAGAGAAAGATCATCTCGCTTTTTTAGTAAGGGTTCAATTCTAATTCTAGTTAGTTAATTTATACATGGAAGGAAAAGGAAGAGCTGCTGCTACTTGTTGAAAAGTCATGTTATCTTGTCCGTAGACTTATTGGGACTCTACCTCTGATTACAGAGCACGCAGCGCGTTGCGAACTTGTTGGGATAACTCATGTAAACAGCCAAGCTTCATACCAGCCACCGAACGCTCAAAAAATCACTTGAATTACTTTGAAATTTAGATTAAATATTAAATTAAAACTCACACTACAAAAATTCACAAAAAACTGTGGATGCAAATTATTTGCCTTCATATATCTAGTTAATTAGCTACTCGAGCAATCGTTTGCCATTATTATCGTTCGGTTTCTCTGACGAGTCAGAGTTGTGAATTACGGGAAAATAATACCGTATTCCCGCTCACCGCTAGCTGAAACTTCCTATAATATTTTATAATACAATATAATATTCCTTTCGTATAATATTTGTGAATAATTCCTCCATTTGCTTGCTTGCATCGCAGCACATCAGACAGATAGCCGCATAGAATAGAATAAAAGTGTCGGCACTGAAGAAATAGGCCCGTGGCATATGCAGTCGTGTACCAAATTATATAAGGAAGTGTTCCACGCTAAGCATATTTAAGCGATGATTATTACATATACTCGATGCATGTATTCGTTGTGATGATTGTTAATAAATTTGCTTACTGTCGATGAAGGCGTGATGAAGATTGCCAGCGATATAGAATAGTTGAGTCATCGCTTGAGGCATGCGCGTGCTCAGTCTTTGCTGATCAATGTACGTTCATCTGTGCATCATTACGTCAAGTCCTAAGTAGTCGATTTTCCTAATCTATTTTTGAAGCTTCAACCCACCATCTCGAGGATGGTTGGGTGCGAGGCTACTTATATGGAATAATCTCGAGTAATGCGGAAGCTTCCCGTAGTCTATTATGACGATTTAATGAGATATGTCTCAGAGTCACAGTAATTATCTGCATTGTCTATGTAGTAAAATAATGAAGACTTGGCAATCCAGTTTATATTCGAACAAATGACCAGTTACCTGGATGCATTCTAGATATCGCGGGGCATTTATAATAACTACTTATATTCCAAATTTCGAGAAGATCCGTTCAGTATTGAAGGAGTTATGAGTGGTTTGGTAGCTTCAAAAACGCATATATTCGTTTTATTTTTTATTTAAATGCACCGCCCGTCACTAGCGTTGGTTCATTACCTCCATCACCTCCCGTCACTAGCGTTGGTTCATTATCTCCCTCACCTCCCGTCACTAGCATTGGTTCATTACCTCCCTCACCTCCCGTCACTAGCGTTGGTTCATTACTTTCCTCACCTCCCGTCACTAGCGTTGGTTCATTACCTCCCTCACCTCCCGTCACTAGCGTTGGTTCATTACCTCCCTCACCTCCCGTCACTAGCGTTGGTTCATTACCTTCCTCACCTCCCGTCACTAGCGTTGGTTCATTACCTTCCTCACCAGCACCTCGTCACTAGCGTTGGTTCATCACTTCATTAATCACAGCTTGTTACGGGTCTCGAACACGCAACTCGTTGCTCCCAATTTACTGTGTTTAACCGCCCGGCCAGAACTGTAGCAGGTAGCTGGGATCGAACCAACAACTCACCCCTCCAATTTTGGTACAGCGAACTGTAACCACTGGGCTACCCAACATCTTGATGATGTTGGGTGGCCCAGTGGTCTCATTTCAAACCCAGTGGTCTTCAAAGTCGCATATAATTTTACAGTAAATACCATTTTTATCCATTACCATTATCCATTTTATAAATACCATTTTATCCATTTTATCTTATCGCATCACATTCTAAAAGTACATTTTTCTTACTTTTCATCAGTAGGGATGAAGAAATTTAATCCGTTTGACGTGTCGGACCATTTTACGGCCGGTCTCCAAATTTAGTGACCAAGTACGGTAATATCTCCCGAAGTAATAGAAGCTGGGTTCCAAGCAGACAAAATCAAACGGCGGTCTGTGGGATTTGTCTTGATTCTTTCAATGAGCTGAAAAATAGAATTATTGACAATGTCAATAGTCACTTCAAACAGAATAATATACGTTTAAAAATTAATTTTTAAAGACAACACTTCTAAAGAATCCAGTGTCTCCATTCTTAAAGATGTACAATGAATTTCTCATTTCATCTTCGAATAAAAAAAAATAAATTTTTTTTAATATATAAAATTTTTTTTCGAAATTATTTATTCTATCAATTGATTCATACATTGCCTCCGACTTCACACAAGTGTGCAAAATTTCAGATTAATTGGACAGGTGAAAGTGTGTCATAGATCATTTTAGATTTGTAGCTGACAAAAATATTTTTTCAATTCGTTTAATATTGAAAGCGAAAATTTTTTATTCCTAAAATTATTTATTTTGTCATTTGATTCATGCATTGTCTTCAACTTTACGCAAGTGTGCAAAATTTCAGATCGATCGGATAAGTAGAAGTTTATTAAATTTTGATTACAAGATTTGTAGCAGACAGACAAACAGTCAAACAAGAAGTGAAGTTAAAGAGAAGTGTTGTAAAAATAATATACGTTTAAAAATTACTTTTTAAAGACAACACTTTCAAAGAATCCAGTATGACCAATCTTACAGATGTATACAATGAATTTCTCATCTAATTTTCGAAAATTAAAAAAATCAACGTTTCCAATTTTTTTAATATTTATAAATTTTTTTAATATATAATTTTTTTTTCAAAATTATTTATTCTGTTAATTGATTCATGCATTGCCTCTGACTTCACACAAGTGTGCAAAATTTCAGATCAATTAGACAGGTAAAAGTGTGTCAAATATCAGTTATAAGATTTGGTGCAGACAAAATTATTTTTCAATTTTGAATTTTTTTTTTAATTTTTAAAATAATTTATTTTGACATTTGATTCATGCATTGTCTCCAACTTTACGCCAGTGTGCAAAATTTCAGATCGATAGGATAACTAGAAGTGCATTAAATTTCGATTACAAGATTTGTAGCAGACAGACAGACAAACAAACAAACAAGAAGTGAAGTTAAAGAGAAGTGTTGTAATATATATATATTTAGTTGACGTTTATGTCAAATCACATAGAAAAAAAAGACTATCAATGCTTCGCAGCTAAAACGCCGGTCACAGATTTACAAAAAAAAACGATGAAATCATACGGCATTACAATTACCGGTAGTCAGAGTTTGATTACACGCACTATCAAGAGTATTTTATTCATACACAATGTACTGAGGTTTAAGTGTCTGGGGTAAGTTTTACATCAAAAAATGATATCAAGCATATAACTGTGCTGTCAGAATAATGTCACAAATTTTTCTGCGACTATGACATACATGCAAATAAGCCTGCGCTGAAAAATGATGCAATATCGCGAACGAATTATGAAGTCAACAGTAATCTTATTCACATAGTTACAGCATGAGTGACGCCTGCATGTTAAAAATCGCGTACATCACTTCAAGAAACACAGCCAACTTTGATTGGTCCATCCAGCCTTTATTTTGCAGTAACCTTCATCAAAGGCTTCAATTAATCATATGTTATTAGTAAACAAAACTACGGAAATGGCGCTCGTCAAACAAGGCAGGAACGTGTTCAACTTCTGGTGCCTGTTTTGACTTCTCTACTTACTAAATTTTAACTTTTTGTATAAGCGTCATTTACAACTTAATATCAAGTCAGCGCTACTTACTACTTTTAAAGAGTTTTCTACTTGTTTAACACAAAATTTTACACTTTTCTAATCATATTTCAGTATTCTTATGTGTTAATAAACATCACTGAAACACACGGTACTTTTTCAATTAAAAAACGGATTAAAATTGAATCGCCATTCAGCTCGTCGCTTAAAGATTAGAACTTACTGTAGGTAACTTGAATATAAAAATGATTTGCAAAAACGTAGCTTACAATTTATATTTCAGCACATATCAAAACAATGTGCTCCACAACTCAAGTGCACTGTACGGAAAGATTGCTATTGCACACAGAACATTACGCTAAAGTTGGACATGAAGTTTCGTTATTAACGTTTCAACTTGAGTGCTTCATCTGGTCGTCATACGCAAGTCCCTGTCTTCGTCCATCCGAAAAGTTGATACAAAGAAAATCCTTCCCTGACGTGCAGTAGTTGAACAATTTCCTCAACAACTTCTGAAGTTTCAACGGATGTTGAGTTTTGTGCTGCTAATATTGGCTGAACTTCGGCTGAAAAATAAAACAATGATTTGCATTTGATAAGAATAACGTTGACTCGGCACAAACTGATTCATCTCAGTAAATAATAACAACTTCGAAGTGTTCGATCTACAGGGCAAACAACGTCAAGGTAATATTGTAGAGTGAAAAAACATACTAGATTTAAATATGTAGTACTGTAGCGAACCTAGATATTACGACTTTTTAATAAATATATCCTTTTTCCTCTGACTTGGCAACACCGTTAGGAAGTTTACCTCGCGTTCTAGTTTGTCCCTTAGTCAGTATAGCCCAGCCGATCCACAACAGCAGGTTAGTTAAGATTTAGGTCTCTAAGATAAGTTTCTTTGTTTATATGCGTAAAGGGCCGCTGTATGCGCAGTGGTTATAGGGCCGCTGTATGCGCAGTGGTTATAGGGCCGCTGTATGCGCTCTGACGACGGTAGAGCGGCACCAAGATGGAGGAGCTAGGCGTGGGTTCGAGCCCCGGGAAGTTCAGTTAAAGTCTCGGTGTCGCTAGTGGACGGCGCTTAGTCACCGCCAAAAGGTGGTGCTTTCAGCATGGCCTTGTGTGTGTGTCCCTAAACACTCTGGGTATGTTACCTGGGGGAACTTAAGGTCTTAAGTTGCATGTTCCTTTGCGCTGACTGCAGAGAGGATGCTGAAGCACCCAATGTCAGGTCATCAGCATATCTTATGAGGCGTACGGCAGTGGAAGTGGGTACATCCGAAAGCATTACATTGAGCAGAGCTGGGGACAAGATGGCACCCTGCGGGACAACGATGTTCACAGGACTGAGCTCTGACAGTGTATCTCCAACTCTAACTCTTGAAGATCGATTCTCAAGGTATTTATGGAGCCAGACTAACAGTTGGTCAGAGACCACCAGGAAATCTCATAACCAATGAATATCTCATTCATAAATATTATACGTTTAGAAATTACTTTTTAAAGACAACACTTCCAAAGAATCCAGTATCTCCAATCTTACAGGTGTACAATGAATTTCTCATCTAATTTTCAAGAATAAAAAAAAATAACTTTTCAATTTTTTTAATATATATAAATTTTTTTAATATATATAAATTTTTTTAATATATAAATTTTTTTAAATTATTTATTCTGTTAATTGATTCATGCATTGCCTCTGACTTCACACAAGTGTGCAAAATTTCAGATCAATTAGACAGGTAAAAGTGTGTCAATTATCAGTTATAAGATTTGTAGC